CAAATTTTTATACATGCATATATATATATATATATAAAGAGAGAGAGAGAGAATTTAAAAAGTAGTTAATTTAAAATTCCCATGTTATTCTTATGGAGAACATTGTAAAATGTAGTTGTGGCTTGTTTTGGATGTATTTTGATCAAACTTAGCAGATTTATTTATTTTATACTAAGCTATTAATATTTTAATAAAAAAACTTTCCCTGTAGAAGCAAACCTTAGGTACTCGTTAACAAAAATGTTAATTTAATAGATTAATTGAAAATCAATACAGGCAAATGGAAATTCTCTTAGTCGCAGGTTTGCTGCAGCGGGGGCAGCGGGGCAGCAACTCATTATTCTACATTGTCGTAGTCTTCACTGTCGTCTTGAGTTTGTCTTTTTCTATTATCACCCTCACCTAACTTACAAGATGAGAAATGGTCAAAGAAGAGTCTCACATGAGACGCTGTCTTAAATATAGATTTCAAGGGGCAAATTTTATTCCTTGCTGGTTTTCCAATTATAAAAAGTTTTGTTTATTCGGTGTTTAAGGTGAATTTCACGGCTTTAGCTAATTCAGAAAACGATGCTCTATCGTGACTGATTCTGGTCTCAACATTGGCACTCTTAGATTCAGACAAATTATATACAACAAGATTAGAAGCCTGCTTACTTCGCTCGTTCATTTTGCCGATAATTTCTTCACAGCTATAGGCAAACTATGGTTTAAGGTTATACAGAGCAGTGATCTCAGATTTCAAGTTATCTACTCTAGATTCGACAGCAGTAGTACTCGAAGTTTCTTGACCTCATCCTTCACAGAATTGATCCCCCCTATGGTTCCAAGACGAGATATACTGGTCAACTGATAGCTGACACTGATAGCAACTCATAGCTGGACAACTGATTGGAGAGCTTAGTAAAGCGGCTATCGTCTTCAGAAGTGCAATAGGAACGAGAGCATAAAACATTTTTGTTTAGAGTTGCTGGAAAGGCTGGAAAATTCACTCTCACTTATGCGCGTAACCAGAGGCCACACCGCTGGATCACCTCTGGGTTTTAAATACCCCAGTGTCTCAAGAAAAACATAAAACAAAAAACAAAATACATATAATACGTAGATAAGTCAAAATCATAGACAACATGTTGAGAAAAGTTTTAATGAGAAAACATAAAAGAAGAACTAAACTAGAACAGTTTATGAAAATATGAAAAATGGATACGCATTACCTATACCTCATCATATAAAGATATCAAGAAAACGTTTGAGAAAAATGCTGAATTAATGGTTTCATTTAAAGCAAGAAAGAGAATTAAAAGTATTCTTGGGAATCTTAAAAGTAAATTACATATAATACAAAATTAGCATTTATCTAATTTTGTGTACCAAGGGTGAGATGAAGTATCTCGTGTTAATAAAAATAAATGTTAAAACTAGATTCAAAGAACACACTTCTCACATTACACAAGAGACCAGAAACATCAGCAATATTCAGCAACTAACATTGTTTAGAAACAGACTACACAATTCTAATCAAAAATAAATGATAAGTTGCTGAAAAATGTAAACAAACCCAAAGAAATAAATACATGGACAACACATTACAAATTCATAAACAACATTATTCATAAATAAAATGGACAATCTAGTAAATAACGATAATGGCCCAATTTAAACCGTAACATTACTTAATTCAAAATTTAAAATGTTATAAGTTAAACACTTCATATTTTATTTTATACGCAAATAATTAGATATTTATAGTTTTACCTAAATGTACTTGGAAGAATATTTTTTCATATTTAACCACCCATTTATTACGTTTTATTTTAAAACTTATATACATAAAACCTTCAGTTTTTGTTATGTGTCAGATAATGAAGGCGAAAGGCATATCATCGCTGGCGAAAGGCCTCATTAAAATAAAAATTAATAAATAACGGTGAAGTTTTTATTTTAATATTGAATTAAACCAGTTCCTTATGTAGATTAAAGTATCAATCAGCTTTCATTGTGGAGTATATTTGCATACGATAAATAAAACATTTGTGGAACTTTAAACCCCGTAGAGTCTTTCAGTGGACGTGTTATGTAGTAACAAATTATCCACGGCCTCTATAATCGTAATCGGTATGAGCTATCAAATTTTTATCCTCTCATAACTCGTTTATTTGAAAATAATGGGGTATGTTTAGTTATGGCAAATGAAATCTATCTATATATTAATAGGCAAGCATGTTTCTTTAAAACCTTTTTTCTCAGCTCGTGTGCATCGCAGGGAAAATCTAAGAATACCGTTGAAAAGATATTTTCCTGTAGAAGTGCAGAATCCCTTTAAAAATTAAAATATGCTCAAATATAAGCACAATTTGAATTTGAAATTTAAAAAAAAATTAACATGGGCTTAATGGGTTGCCATGCTGGTGATGACATAACAACGAAATATAAACAGAAAATCAAAACAAATGGAAGAAATTCCAATCACGTGTTTTATTTACAGCGTGCGGTTAAAATAGAGAACACTTTTTGAATGAGCTATAGCAACTGTTATGACCCATCAACTTTGTCAGCAACAAAGAATAAGGTAGAAAATATAATTTAAGACACGCTTTCGGTGAATGGCTCACACAACTACATGTTTTTAATAAAAGAAAATTGCGACAGCTGGTCCATATAGACGGGATGTCTATTTCAGTATCCAATAGGTAATACGTTACATGTTTTTGGTCGAATTTTCGACCACTGGACGACCACTAGTTATAATTAATTTGTTTGATTTAAATAAGATATCGAATCAAAGCCTATTTATTATTACAGTAAAATAAATCTCTATAGTGTTTAAAGGAGTATGGCTCATAAAAGATAGTAGATTTGACTAATGAGTAAACAATTTGGATGGTTACGTCCAACAGCGATCATTTTATCATTAAGGCTAATTCCAACAATTCAGTTCATAAACTACAAAGTTTCATCATTGAGGCTAACAGCAAAAGACTTAGTTCTCAGACGTAGTGATTATGTCTCTTACTTAGGTTCTAAAATGAAGTTGATTGTACTTGCATAGTTTCATAACGTCTGTCTTATGCATTCTATCACAGATATTGAAGGTTCTAAGCACCTGTTTTACTCGTAAATGTCCCTGTTGTTTTTTTTTTTGTTTTTTTTTTAAGTGGCGGTAAGAACTAACTTCATTAGAACTTCTTTGGTGATGTACGTTTCTGCGGGAAGGTATGGGGGTTTAGTGAGTGGGAGAAAATTTCGCGCCGTTCCGGCCAAACCTCGCATGCGGGGTTGGTTCGGCAGATTGGCCACAACCTAAACCCCAACTCTCACTTGTTAGCTGCGGAGAGCTACCTTCTGCCACTGGGTGTTGGTCCACCTACAGAACCAAGTGAGGGGGGCCCGAGACTAAGGTGTAATGCGATCCGTGCCAAGAGTCTTGTGGCACTGGGGGCCTAATATTCAGTGTCTTAACGGAGCCTTCTGGGAACCAGAGGTAACCCAGTCGTACACACCCCTTACCTCTCTAATCGGGTCACTGGGGAGGTGGACTTAAATACCCGGTATTCGTGAGAACAATGTAGACAGTCTGACCAAATGGAGGAGGAAGGTCTACTGAAATCTGACGATGACGACAAGCTCGCAGAAACCGGAAAGGAACGAAAAACGACTTTCCAGGGGCGAGTTGCAAAGATGGAGGATAGCGGATGCTTTAGCTAAAGGCGAAAAGGTGCTATCCAGAAGTGAGAGGAGGCTGGTGTGGGCTGCCAAGCACCCTAACTCTGCTGCCTGCAAAGCCAGTTCCTCTGGGAACTAGGATGCTGGGAAAAAGCAGAGCAAGGGTGGTACCCCCAAAGCTGACTCTAATGAAGCCTCCAGGAAGAAAGGTGGAGGCTGTGCTGACGCAGCCACAAAGGATTGGCTGGTCAAGCAAGTTCAGGAGCTGAGACCTTTCAGGGAAATCTCGCTACGGCTTGCCCCAGCCAGAGACCTTGTGAAAGCTGTGAAGGTATATTTATGTGCCCAGCCCTACAAGGTCTGCGTATGAGATCCCTCGTACAAAAAACGACTTTCCAGGGGTGAGTTGCGAAGACGGAGGATAGCGGATGCTTTAGCCAAAGGCGAAAAGGTGCTATCCAGAAGTGAGAGGAGGCTGGTGTGGGCTTCCAAGCACCCTAACTCTGCTGCCTGTAAAGCCAGTTCCTCCGGGAACTAGGATGCTGGGAAAAAGCAGGGCAAGGGTGGTACCCCCAAAGCTGACTCTAATGAAGCCTCCAGGAAGAAAGGTGGAGGCTGTGCTGACGCAGCCACAAAGGATTGGCTGGTCAAGCAAGTTCAGGAGCTGAGTCCTTTCAGGGAAATCTCGCTACGGCTTGCCCCAGCCAGAGACCTTGTGAAAGCTGTGGAGGTATATTTAGGGCCCCCCCTACAAGGTCTGAGTATGAGATCCCTTGGCCTATTGATGGGAGATCAAAGGGAAGAACAGGTCACCATAGTCAAGAGGCTCTCACGGTTCACCAAGGACCTGGGATTTGACGGAGAATGAGGACCTGTGAACGAGGGTGCACAATAAGCTGTTCTAGCTGCGATGCAATCCCATGGTAACTTGTTAGCCTGGCCCTCAAAAAAAAAAAAAAAAAAAAAAAACGTTTCTGCGTTTAAGACCATTAGCCTTGAATGAGCTAACTCGTGAAGTGTTGGCAACGCTTTTTTGGAGTAGCGTCGAGGTCCAACCCCTGTAGAGAAGCCGGGTGAGGCTGCTGTCCTATTCTAAACCACATTCAGACGTAACTTTTTTTGTAAACCACATGGATATTTAATGAGTATGCTAATTATATTAGAGTATTACGAGTTTAATGTTTTATTTGTTTAAATCTGGTTATCGAATTTAAAATGTGACATTTTACTGTTATTTTGAGGTTTGTATTTACAAATTTACCCTTTCCTCGTAGTTTTTATAAGAAATTTCCTATAGCCAATTTAATTAAATAGTTATTTCTACCTCTTTTATTTACCTGAACTCTGTGAAGATACAGCCAACAAAGTGGTGACCCCTAGGGTGGTTCTGCCAGGAACGGAGTCGACGTCCATCCAGAAGCTGACCCAGGAGATGACCACAATCAGAATAGTTGGCAGATAGCTCTGGACCAGATGGAAACCTACTGACCGGCTCAGATAGAACTCTGCCACTAAACAGCTGTAGTTACCTGGTAAACGAAACCCCCATTGTTTTTATTCATTAGGCCATTGATTTTATTCATTAGCCACTGAAAAACATATTTAGGTAAACATTTTACTTTCGTAACTAGTTGATAAAAGAAGTAATTTACAATTAATAAATTACACAATTGTGTAAATAATTTAGAAAGGGTTTTCATGCGTATGTGATTCTGATTTTAAGTAGGTAGAAATATCGGAAAGCTTAATTTATTAAATGATTTTAGCAGTTCATATTGGAAACTATGTATAGCTCATTTCAGTGGAGCTCGATTTCAGAAAACTGCTTATGGTTATTAGAATTAATAGCAAAAACCAGAAATCCCAACGCGAAACACATTGTAACACAGTGAAACACATTGTAACACAGTGAAACACATTGTAAGCCATTATTCAAGAAACTTGGAATTTTAACTGTCACTTCTCTGTAAATTTTAGATTGTTTATTGTATATTAAAAATAATATTAGAGAGTTCCCTGCAAATGATTTGGTTCATAACCATTTTACCAGACAAAACTCTTTTCTCCGTCCAAACCTATGTATGACCACAATAAATAACTTTAGTGAATTTGGCAAAAGGTTGTATAATATGTTACCTGCTCACATTAAATGTCTTGAAATACAACAATTTAAATTTACTATTAGAAAGATTTTGTGTGATTTATGTGTGTATAAGGTCAAAGAATTTGTAGAACATATTAAGTAGGTTAATGGATATACTGTGATGAAAACTGTATGACGTTGCTATACATATATTTATAATGTTGATGGCAATAAATGGATTTGATTTGATTTGATTTGAATAATAACGAAAGAAACCATAAAAAGGAACCTTACCAAAAACATTACATAGTATAACTCTAATTAATATTTAGGTACAAATAGGCGAAACAAGAAAATAAAAACGGTGACTAGGAGTAGCTATTACCTAAGCTGCGCCATTTACCTAAATTTTAATTCACAAGGGATACCTGGTTCCAGCTACAAACCAGGGAAAAGCTTCTGCTTTCATCTAGGATTGAACAAGGAACATAATATTCTCTTTACACCTTCTACTACATCCACCCAACTGCCTAATAAACTACATGGTGAAGGTTATGAAAAATATTTAAGTATAAAATAAGGGACCAGATAAATATATATACATAAAATACATTTATGAAGAAAAAATGACAATGCCTAGTGAACAATTCTATTACATGATTTTTAAATTGACAATTTAGTTACTTATTGCTTGGAGGTCACAACGTAAATAGTACTTTACGCAACGATTGCGTTAAGTTACTCTTTACGACACGTGTAGAAAATTTAAGGCACGAGCCTTGGCGAGTGGTTAAGAGGTTTTTAAAATAAACCAGAAGCACATTTTCATTTATCAATATAACCTTAATTTGTTTCGTCCATTTAATGAATTGCTGGTATGTAATTCATACCTTTGTTTCAATTTTGGTGACAAACAATTAGCACAAACAGTTTGTGCTCTCATTTCCATCTCGTTAACTTCACTTTCACTAACTGAAATTTTTAAATCAGTTTAATCTACCTTCCTTTAACTCCCACTAACTTAGGTTAAGAATACGCGTGTATCAATAGGAACAAGTCGGATCAACAACTAACATTTTCAAATGATCAGCTGATCAGCTGATTAGTTGACGTTCGAAGCATTACAATTTTACTTCTTTTCTCACAATCCTTGAACCTCATTGGTCCGTTACCCGTGTTGTTTTGAGAAAAACTATGCTGTTATGAAAGTAAACAGCTGTTAAGTGAACCTTTTAAATTCTAAAAACTGTACTGAAATGGCTACTTTAATAAACGGTCGTAGGTAAATAATTTATTTATTTATTTGTTTACGGTATAACACCATTTTTATACTGTGAACAAGTGAACAAGGAATTGAACAAGTGTATTTGGAGGGAGTTAATTAGTTTATAATCATAAACTACCTACCTATCTGGAAAGATTCCTGGCAGTCGGAAGCAGCAATATCCTTTATTTCAAACTGCGGCATTTTGAGTCCTTTACCCATGATCACTGGGTTCATTGTCTTCCATTCTAGTCTTAATTCTTCTATAGTTTTTGAAACTGAAACACGAAGAGAAAATGTATTGTAAAACAACCTATTCTGTAGTGTAAATTGAATGAAATAACTTCTAGGTGTTATTAAATTACCTTAATTATAGAAAATACGTAAAATAAAACTTGTAATGATCTATTTAAACTTATATAGGCCTATTTGACTAAAAAATGCAAGAAATATAGAGCATCCATGGCCTTAAGGACTTAGAATACTTTGAATAAAAATACTGCATCTACATATAGAAGATTATGACAAATTTGACACTTTGGACATCTACAAAATAAGTTGTAACGATTGTGAGCATGTATACATTGGAAAGACCTTATTAAACGTTTCAAAAACCACACATCTGCATGGACAAATAGCAAACCATAAAGATAAAATGTCACTAAACATTTGTTACAAAATGGCCACTCATTGAGGAAATGGAGGACAATCTATGTGCTTTAAAGAATTGTAAATAGGAAATGTGATGAATCATTGGGATGAATTATATATTAACAAGGAAAAATGTAAAAATAGAAATAAGATAATTAATGAACAAGTAAATTTTTACTCAAGTTGTATTCATAGAAACTTCTTGACAAAAATTTCCTGTACTGTGTATAAGAGTAGGGACGCCATGGAGATTTTTGTCATTCGCCTATTAGGTCTGACGATGATTGAAGTGTCCAATCAAAATCGATCACCACTTGCCATATTTTATGTATTTTGTCTTGTGAGTCAACAGTATAAGTGTAAATATATATTATTACAAGTGTTATTTGACGTACTTTTAAAAGTACTTTCAGGTAATTACAAATAATAAAAAAAATTTTCATTTCCTCATTTTTACATACATTTTTACAATTTGTACATTCAGATATAAAAAATCAAAGACAAACATTAATTAGTTTATAATTTTATAACATTTAAATTAAGAGCAAATTATTGATTTATACTACATGCAGAAGAGAAAATATAGAGCCAACATGGATATGTCCGTACAAAGGTTCCATTTTATATTTTAAAATTAAAAAAAAGCTTTCAAATATGATAAAGTAATTAAACACTAATTTAAAAGATCTTTCACAATAGCATGTGTTTTATACAATGTTGTTCACAACAAAAACATATAAATAAGTAAGAGAAAAATTCAACACATAATTATGTGAAAAACGTTGTTTAAGCTAAAATCGTGTAAGCTATAAGAAGATTTACTTTAAGTATCAGGGTATAATCCACATAAAGAACTATTAATACAAAAGTGACTCTTGTATGAAAACGTATTCAGGCTTAAGCTGGTTCAAGTCTTTATTTTATTTATTCTATTTTATTTTACATTCTAACAGACAGCTCCATTTTGATATTTGGTACAATTCAGTGCAATAACAACCAGACTTGCTTAAAGCTAGTTATACAACAATGTTGAGTGAAAAACAAAGAATCAGAATCAATTAATAACAAACAAAAAAGAGAAACGGCAACAAGTTGGCAAAAAGACAGCGGTTGCAACAAAACAAGTGAAAAAAAAATTACGACAAAACAAATCTATATAAGCGTTACAATGAATAACAATAATAAATTTGATCTGAGTAGATAACAACAATAGTACAAAAAAGTTTAAATTTATTAACAAGAAATAACAATAAATTGACAAACGGTGTATAGTTAACAATGAAATAAAAGTTTTCAACAAAGATAACAGTATAAAGATAACAATGATAACTGGAAAATAGAAACAATGCAACAGTGTTGTAGACTATAAAATTACAAAAACAAAAGGAATGGACTACATAAACATTCTTAATCCTTCGCTTGAATGAGGCAACGCCATCCAGGAAGAAGTCAGTCAGCACCGTCAGACCATCGAAGTATATAACACAACTCAGACACGCCGTTTCCTGCTCGTTGCATGCGTGCCACAGCCCCATTTGCCTCGTAGTAGTCACAAAGAGGTCTCTTGAACGGGTGCACGAAGGAGTTTTGAGCTGGATCTGACGTAGGATTTCAGGACAGTTAAAAATACGATTTTTTTATTTTATGAAGGACTGTCAGATCAGCGATAGTCCTACGATCCTCCAGAGGCTGAAGGCCAAGGTCCCGGGACAGGTCTTCAACTGGAACCTGGTGATATGAAATTCAATCTCTGACCCCAACCATCCTGACGAAGTTGGATCCTCTCTAGTTTATTACAAAGGTACTTCTGATGAGAGCTCCACACGGTTGAACAATATTCCAGGATCTGTCGCAACAATGCGCAGTACAACGTTTTCAACGCGGTCGTGTCCCTAAGTTGTTTAGAGAAGCGGAGGATGAAACCAAGCATTCTGTTTGCCCTTCTACTGATGGTGAGTATGTGAGTCCCAGGGTAAGCCCAAGGGTAAGTGTTTATGTGACAATTACACCAAGATCCTTTATTTCCTGAACTCTGGAAAGAACTTTCCCTCGAACCCGAAAATTGAAGATCAGAGGTGAAGCACAGGGATGGAAAGTTATAACTTGGAATTTCGAAGTATTGGGATTCATTTGATTTTCGATGCACCAAAGATCCAAGTCCTCGAGGCCCCTTTCAATTCTCAAGCAATCGTATTGATTTGAAACAGTTGGAAAAAAAAAACATAAAATCGTCAACAGACATGAGGGAGTCAGCATGCAGGGCTTCTGGTAGATCATTAAGAGAGCATTGAGGCACCCCTGAGGTAGACTGAAATTCAGAGTTTGTGCACCAGCAAATTGTATGCAAAGGACGATCCGATAAATAACTAACTGGCCAACCATCGTTGCACAGTGTTGTCAAATCCAAGGGTGGCTATTTTTTTTTTTTTTTTTTTTTGTAGAAGTCTTAACGTCTACTTCATTTATGGCAACGGATTTCACCATTTTACAATATTGAATTACAATAAAAGTTACTCATCATGACTGAATATTCGAAGTAACAATGCTAAAATAATGTATAATACAGTAAGAATCCATGCAAAATCTAGGACAGTAAAAAAACTATGCCTAGGAGTAACGGGAAATAAATAATAAAAGACATAATTGAATAAAAATAGTACATTAATTTTATGTCTAAGAAGTATGTACATAACAAGGGCGAATAAGACTAACCTAGGAAATATAACAATAAATAATAATTGATATTTGGAGTGACGTACATAATACTGTGTAAACAAGACAATACAATAAGAAAACAGTACATGCGATAAGATGGACGGATGAAACGTCTGGGCATTTTCAAAAAGTCTTTGAACTAATATGGTAATATTAATCATTTTATATCTTATTTGTAGTTTAAAACATTTTTAGTAACTCTAAAACATATTTTAAGGGTTAATTGGTGTTTAAGAAACCCCTTCAGAGATTTTTACAGATTATTTTTCTGATTTTAACAACAACAAAAAACACTCAAATCTAACGCCAATGAATATACTCACAAACAAACCAATCATTGATAAAATAAACCGCTTTAAACATTTATGTGTAATAAAAAAATATTGAAATACACACGAGTAGAAAAATATAAACTGGTTTACCTCATTTACTTTCAAATGAAAAGGTAAAAGCATACTCTATATCTGTTCATATTTGCCTTTTACTGCAATATAGTGGCTAAGTTTTTTTTAGTATTTAGGTTTCATTTTCCTTTTTGATAGGACAGATTGTCATTTATCAAAGTTGAACTTACACGAGGCAACCTCCATTGTACAGATTTGATTGTCCAGAGGAAACTTTGATAGATCCATCATGCAGGAGAATGTCAGCTTTAACCTGAAACAATATTACTCTTGCTCAATAGATCATATTATTCAGTAATCATGGTTTTATCTAATCAAGGAAAACTTTGATCATATTTCATCGTAACTGAAAGTAAGAAAATAGTTTTTATTTGTAACGTTAACAGTATTATCGATTGAAATAAAATATTAAATAAATTATTTTGTAATAGGCTTTACCAATAGGTTTCCAAATTTTTCAATAGGTTTTGTCTAACTTCTAGACTTGGGCTACGCTCAAGTGCTTTTTAGTTTAAATTAAAGTAATTTATTCAGCTTAACATTTTTCAATTGCCAAGTCTTAACCAATAAAATTATTATTTTTTATTGTATGTCACAGAAAGTTAGACTCGCTGTTACAGATTTGTTTTTTTGAAGCTGAAAATACCATGGAGCTGAGTTAGTGTGGATAGGGATTAATAAAATAACAAAGTACGCAGTTTAAGCTTTATTGAAAAAATGGTATTTTATTTTACACGTATGGACTCGTAGTACTAACTATTTTTGGTACTTACGTATTATACGGAGGCCACTTATTTTACAGCGCGCTGCGGCGGTTGGGTTAAGTTGGGTTATCATAAATATGTTTGTAGAACTTTCCTAGTTTCGTTATGAATCGAACTATACGAGATGAGTCATAAAAACTTATGATAACCCAACCTAACCTAACCGCCGCAGCGCGCTGTAAAATAAGTGGCCTCCGTATAATACGTAAGTAGCCTACCCTATTTTTTTACAATTCTTTAAACAGTAGCCTAAGTCCAATAAAAATAAACTAGCATAAATAAATGTTGTGTGTGGGTTATCTAGACAATGGAATTCTTTACGTTTTGAAAGGTATCCGTGCAAATCATGGTCCTTAAAGGGGACCCTAAGCTTTGCAGTAGTTACAGGCCAATTACCGTTGCCTTTAAAAATTTGAAAAGATCATGCTAAACCAGATGTGGAATTTTCTTGAAAACATAAATAATTTTCAAAACCACCACATTAGCTATAACTATAACTGCTAACTGAGAACTACACAAAGGTAATTATTCGACCGGTCTCTTCTTCGATTTAAGTAAAGCCTTTGATATCGTTGACCATTGCTTGCCACTTAGCAGAATAAATAAAGTAGGAGTGAGAGAGGACTAGCTTTGGACTGGGTTAAAGCGTATCTTTGTGGCAGGAGCCACATTTTTAAGATAAGGGCAGTATATGAGGCTGATTGCATGACAAATCCCTCTGCTGAAAAATCCATTGTGAGAGGGGTGCCGCAGGGCTCAGATCTGGGCTCTGTCCTTTTTCTCCTTTTTATCAACAACATCCCCTCCTGCACCACATCATCAAAATTATCACTATTTGCTGACGATACCTCCCTTTCCATAGCTATATATTTGCCTTTTACTGCAATATAGTGGCTAAGTTTTTTTTAGTATTTAGGTTTCATTTTCCTTTTTGATAGGACAGATTGTCATTTATCAAAGTTGAACTTACACGAGGCAACCTCCATTGTACAGATTTGATTGTCCAGAGGAAACTTTGATAGATCCACAGCAAGAATCCATACAACTTAACAACAGGAGTTCAGAAACTAACTCCTGTTAGTTACAGCAAATAACTAATAATAGTTAGTTGAAGCAAATAACTTAATCCAATGGTTTGATGACAACTTTCTAAAAATTAACACCGAAAAACTCAACTTATAAAGTTCCATTTAAATAAGAGGCAAGATGTTGGGTTTAGTTTCCTCCTGAACGAGACTCAGGTCCATCCAACCGCAAATATGTAAATTTCTTAGGGTTAATCTTAGACGAGAGACTTCTGCAGCCATGTCAAACACATTTTTAATTAAATTCAGTTCTAGAACTTTTGTTCTACGCATTCCCAGAATCATTGAAAATCTATCTGTTACTATGGGCTCATTTATCTCCATCTAGCATATGCTGTTTCATCTTGGGGATTTGAGAGCAAACAAAACAAAATTATTTTCAAAATCCGAAAGATGGCTGTGAGAACAATTTCTCTTTGCATAACATAGAGCAATTCAGTTAACTTGCCAATTCCTAAACATTGGCATAAAGCTATTTAACTCACATCCATTATCCCTTAAGTTAGGAGCAAGCCTTTCAAAATTCAAAAGACAGTTAAAACATAAACTGCTTAATATTTCCTGTTACAGCATCCAAGAATTCCTACAATTTTTTGAATGCTCTAATATGTAATTATTGTAAATATTAGAATTATAATTACCATAGCTCTATAGTATAGTATTTTTGTAAAGTTGTGACCTGGCTAATACAATCTATTTTTGTTACTTTGGCTCCATAAAATGATTTGATTTGATGGTCTTGTTAGTACCAAGTGTCAACCAGCTTTGCCTCATTGATTCATAGCCCAATGACAAAATGAGCCCCTGAAATCCATAGTGGTGCAAGTCACACTAAGCTAATTTTGAGAAACAGAAGCGTAGTAGATATCTTACCATGGATCATAAAATTAAAACCATAAATCATAAAATGTATTTAAAGTTTCTTAGTATTCATAACTGTTTTATTTAATAGTGTATACAGCTTTATATTTCAGATTAGATGAACTTTCTTTGTCTGTCTTGACAAAATTTTCATGTAACTGCTAGGTAAATTTGTAAAATACTTTTATAAATTGATACAAAATTTAACTTTTATTAACTTAAAGCATAATTAAGTTCAACAACTGCAGGCCTTATTAACTTATTTATCTTTCGTCCTCCTAGTCACCTTCTGAGCCTGAAATGGAACGCTCTTCTGTTTCAATAATGTTGTTGTAGAACGCATGTGTGACAGGGAGTATGTAGGACAGCAAATCTAAAATAATCTTGTTTTTTGCTTTGTACTACCCAAGGTCTAGCATACAAAGGCTGGAGTAAAATCGTCTTAAAAATTCCTGGCTTATTTCACGTTTTCTTTTTACTGAAGTTGATTTTACAACATTTCATTTCTTAATTTAGGCATTCTTTGTATAGAATGTTTAAGAGGATTTCTCTCAAATACCACAGCCACTGAATCCTAAAACTCCAGAAATCGACAACCTTAACTTTGTTTATCAATACTCTTTGTCACAGTCTATGAAGGGGCAGAGTGGTATAAGTCCTGACTTAAACCACTATGGTTGCCAAGGATACCAGCTGATTGTTTGGGAGCAAAAGAAAATCCCTCTGATACCCCCAGTGATTGAAGTTGACTTACACCACTTTGTTCACAAATAGAACTACAAAAGTGTTATCCATTGGTACCAAATACTTGAGTTAAAAAATGACTTGTATCACTATGGATCTCAAAGGCTCAAATGGCATCTAGGCCTTTAAATCGAACCAGCACACTTGAGATTTGAAGGCGAGCACTGACTAATGATTCGACTGACCAAACAAATAAATCATTCTTTCTACTATGTTGTCATTGCAATTCTGAATATTTAAATTAATAATATGCTTATCATTACACGAGACAAAATATTTTGATCGTTGTTTTTCTGTTTACGGTTACTTATCCATTTATTAATGTGCTGGTAAAGGCTTATCATAACCAAATGATTTATGCCTTGTGATAATACTATAGTTTTACAAACTTCCTCCTATTAATAAAGTATCTCAGGCTAATAGTATCAACTTACTTAAAAAAAAATAAATATTAAAAACAGTTACTTTTAAAAATGTGAACGAATAAAAGTTATACAATAATGTCATTACATATTTTGCCATACGTCGTGTTCTGTATTTTATGTTCGCCCCATACAGGGAGATATTTAGTTTTTTTTCATACAAGTTTAGTATTTTTAACAGCAGTCTTTTTTACGTTGAACCCTATTTATCACATGTCAGCGCTAAATTGGTTGATGTACTGAATTTAAAATCGTATAAACTTGATCTTATAAATATTTAAATATAATCTATTTGTTGGTTAAATAAAATCACAACATATAAAATGAATCCCTACGGGACATCGAATTTAGTTTAAGTTTCTTATGGCTTTACATAGTCTAGAACTTATTATAGTGAAAATACCATTGGACACGCGTGAACAAAACTCCAATGCATTTATAAAAAAAAATCAATTTTTTCGCACTGAGTAACAAAATAATGTTATAACACTACATAATTAGTATTTAACCAAGAAGAGCTAAATATGTTTATATGTAATCCGAAAATCAGTACACCACAATATTAAAAGAAATAATTTATCTGATAACACGGTACATTGATTAATTACCTTGTGAGCTTGTTACTATTCATGGAAAATTATGAATGTAAACTTCCACATTTACATAATGTCGAGAGAAATTGTTTAGGTGATTGGAATCAGAGATGGTTATAGATAAAGCCTCTAACCAGTCCCAGCTTAAAATTATGATTAGTAAACACAAGTTGGTATTTTATTTTTATAATTACCAAGCCATATGCGATAAGCCATATGTATTGAATATAAAACCTAGTCCAGAAATTCGATTACATTGTCACACTTAAGTTTAAAACTAAAAAGTAATATTTTTTATATTGTTACGTGGCAGTACCGCGCTATATATTAAGATTTCGTTGTTTAAACAAGAATGATGTATAGGTGCTGATATAAGATTGATATTAAAGAAAAGTCTCTTCATACTGAGCAAAAAGAAAGTTTGTGTATGCGGTCCGCAAAAGTTTGATTATTGCACTGTGGAGATTTCGTTTTCTCAGTTTGTAAACTTAATGTTTAAATAAAAGAAATTGGTGTTCCCAAAAAACTCCTTGAAAGTAATAATGCGTTTACACTGGTAAAGCACATTTTAATATCATCGTGGGGGTTTTTATATTTCTTAGGAACAACAAACTCATAAGTATTAGGCTGAATGCTTTTATATATGTTGAAATTTACTTCATAGAATTATTTAAGCCACTTTCATCGATGGTGGAGTAAAGTAATACTCAAAACACTTCACGCTCTACTAAATTTTTTACCTGAGCATATAGAGTATCTCGCCATCCGGATTGATCCTAATAAGTACATTAGGAACTGTTACGAACTGAAACTCAGCGTGTTTGGCATTAGGAAAGTAAACTTCAGGTTTCCATATGGCTTTGACCAGATTAGGGTCGTTAAGGTCAAGACTCTCCGTAATATCTGCATGCTTCAATCTCTCATCCTGCCACTTCTGCCTGAGATAGAGGTCCACTTCGTAGTCCTGAAACATCAAAACATAATATTAGCCTACTGAAAAGAGGTAAAAACACTATCTTCATGTCTCCCAACCCCTTTTTGGAAAAATTGAGAAATCGTACGGATAAAAAAACCCAAAATAAGCTTGCAAAGTTATATGTTGTGTTTCACAGTACTTATCTTTGCGTGAGATCTACGAATTTAAGCATTTTATCCACCATATGTCAAATAGGTGAATAGGTATTGATTATACCATCTGAAAAGCTAACTCTAACGATAACAATTCTTAGACCTACACTAATAACTCGATATTGTAGTCTAGGCTGTGTTTTTACCTCAGAATCTTAAGCTATCTTTGGTATTTGACGAAATCGTGCCCAAAAGTCCTAGCTTGTAGTGTTAGGGCCCCTAGTTTGTAGCTTGAAAGCCCCGAAAGCCCTATCTTTTATGTTCATAACGATTCTTGTTTATATGCAACACTAACATTTCAAAAGCACAGTCACACTAAAAAAAGGTTGATATCTACATTAATTTGCACATATAAATTATTAACAGTTCACCAGATATAGAAAACTCATTTACAATACTGGATATAATATCATAAGGACTTTTCTTTTGAAATTGTTTACTTTGATATATGTAAGAGCCAACTGTAAACTCGCTTTAAACCAATAATTAACAGAATATTAATATATTCAACATATTATATACAGTATTAGCTTGTGATATTGCTGTCATTTGTATTAAAAAATAGCCATTTTAACTGGTTTACATTATGTTATGTTGAAATATCATTACTTATTATGTCGCATTACTTATTATATTGAGCAAATGCATGTATATTAAATCACAAATTATTGTATAATGTTATACCTTAAAAATAAATACATGAAAATCAATAAACATTGTGACGCTTAAAAAGCATTGATGTTATATGTTGTGGTTACATGGACAAAATTAGTATGATGCTACCTTTGTTCTAATTATTCCATAAAATAAGTGTCAAATAAATGGAATTATATCAGATTAATAAGACATATCTTGTCAATGAAACCAACTACTTTGTAAACTGTTGTTGCTTGAACGTGTGTTACCTTGACTGACACTACTGATTAGTGATAAAATATAGACATAATTATTATGGCAGAGCCTATTAGTCACATTGCACTTGAGGGATTTGACACTTGTATTCATAGTATAAGAGCAGCTAGCAAAAGTGGTCTCGAAAAATCCGGTTCCTAAAAACAATATTTTACCCTTATTTAAAAATAATTCAGTTTTGCCAAAATTGTAACCGATTCGGATGAATTAGGAGCCATATCTAAAAATGGATTAAACAATTCACATTGGATGCGTAATGCAGCTATATTGACGATATATCGATATATTTGTAATCAAATTTAGCATTGCATTAAACATTGGAAATATCGTAGTGTTTTTAATTGGATAAAGCTTAAAAATAATGCATTGAATGACGGTATTTACTACGTACTAATAAAATCGTAATAGATTTACTTAGGTTACACCATAAGGTATACGAGTATATTCCATCGTATTTTCCATCCTTAGGATTATTTAATACAACACAGTTTTATGCAATCGATTGGGAAATATGTTGCAGGGTTTAGATCTATTACGTTGTACGCTATTGGCAGTGCACAAATTTTTAGTCTTGGCTATAAAAAATAAGTACCATTTCACCATAGCAAAACAACCGTAATAACCCTTATATTACTTTTCAGGTTTTTACTCTAAACTTTACTTCAGAGGATGAAAAGAAACTTAAGACTCTTATTGTTTGGAAATATTGTAAAATCAAGGTGAAACCTTATGTCATTTTAGAGTTAGTTACATATCTCTGATAATTTGACCGACGTTCGTTTTGAGTTTGTTCTCCTGCCTTTTGGTATTTAGATAAAGATTCATTATTATAATTTATTAATTTATAAAGTTATAGTTTAAAATTACGTAATACTTAAGACTTCATTGAGCTAATTTGAAAATATTTTCTTTATATATCCCTACAACAGGCCCTAAAAGTCATTAAGGCTCAATCACTTTTTCCTGTAAGCTTATACTTCTTTAAAGTTTATTTATGAAAAGCACCAAAATAAACAGAATCCTATACTCTAATACGAGCAATGTTTGCTTGTATGTATGCTTGCTTGATTGCTTGCAGAAAGATCTCGAAAACGGCTCCGACGATTTTCTTCAAATATTATAAATAGTTCATTTTTGGCCTAAAAACGAGTTTCATGCAGCTAGAACTGCCAACAAAAATCTAATTACGTAGAAAAACGAAACTGAAAATCACATTTTTAAACATTAGTCTTATGGGTTGCTAAGTAATTATGTTGGTTGAATTAAATAACAAGAAAAACATAATCAAAAGACTTGAAGTTGTAGCATGTGTTCATAATAAGCCAACTACCCACAGTATACTAGCAAATTACAAATACAGTACAAAAGGGAAAGCATCGTTTGTTACTATTGAGCAAAGACTGAAGATTGCTCCATACATTGTAGGCCTAGTATAAAGGCAAGCAGTACGAAGTGTGGGATCTGTTTATGACGATAGATAAGGGTATCTGCAATCCTAAAATGCTATGGGAAGGGATGAAAACAGATCCGCGACGTTGGAAGGGGTGAAGGAAGTAGTAAAGGCGAGTAGTCTGGAGTGTGGGAACTGTTTACGGCGATTAGATTAAGGTATCTACAATCATAAAATGTTTTTTTTAAGGGAGGGAAACAGGTCCGCGACGTAGGAAGTGGTAAAGGTATATTGAATATTTTTTTAAGAATAATTATAATTTAAAGATTTTATTATGCATAAAACCGTTGACTAATATAATACACCTACACTGGCTACTCTATGGATGAAAGAAAGAATATAATTCACTTCAATCTCTAGAATTCACAACAACGTTGTTGCTCGTAAAATGTAAACAAAAAAAGAAGAAGAAGGTAGCTCCTAATGTTATTCTTATGGGTTATCCAAAATGGTTTTTTTAGGATTTTATAATAATTTCTGAACCAAGATAATATGATAAATAACCTTTGTGCAAAACATCAACTTGATATACGAAGTGATTCTCGAGTTTTTGGATTTATAAGAGATGCTTTTCATACCAGTATGAGAATTAACTTCGTGTTATTCAATAATTCATGTTCTTAATTATTTACTGCTTATAACAAAGAACTGGCAGTCCATTTAAAACGTAAATCATTACTCATATAAGTTCAGTTGTTTTTCCCAAAAACCTTAAATTAAAACACAAAAAATGTAGAGGCGAACAATGTGCTGACCGCATCAGTTACCTGGAACAATGAACTCGTTATTGCTATAAAATTGCCTGCGTTTCTTTCTGGTTGACGATTTAAAATGTTGGTATGTGTGTGTTTTCCCCATAAAGTTGAATTATTTGTTTATTTCAATCATTTCAGTTTATTAGCACGTGTTTTAGAGGACACGAAAAACTACTAGAAAATTATTTTTTAACCAATAATACAGATTAACTTTACATTTGACTAATATGGGATATCCACGAATCTACCTTTTTAAGCGATGTATTTTCAGGTTATTTTCAAGATGTATTTTCTAATCTTACTTGGGATGTTCCACAAGGAGTCGGAAGGAAATAAGGAAATATAACATGGACCATGTAGGACTTTAAGGTTTTTATTGTGAAACACAGTGTCGCAAACATCGTCTCAACAGATTCATCCCTAGCCAATCAGCCGTGGTTTGATATTACTAACTCAACTAATTTACCTCGAAATTCCAAACTACCGCCGTTTGAAATTATATTAAACGCATTTGCAGCACTTTGTTTTTCTATTAACCTGTTATCGAAATTCATATTCGATATTTCATTGGAATTCTCACTGTTTAAAATTTCCTCTAATTTAAGATTTCTTTCTCACTTGTTGTTAAATTTCCTTATTATGAGGGTAAAATTTGATTCATGGTCCTTTCACAGACCATATGCAGTGAATTTTGCTATTCCTTAACTATTAGAAATGTTACATCTAATATAAGTAGTGTAAGTCATTAGTTTAATTAATAACAAATCCTACAAACAACTTTTAAGAGTGCCAAACTTAACTAATATAACCCCCTAAATAAAAACTGTTTTCATTAAGTTATAGCTCAAAGAAGTTATCCTTATCAGCACCAGAACGTTATGAGGACGATATTTTCGTAACAAAGATAGTGTTTTACTAGCCTAGACTGAGAATACCAACTCTCAGCTTAAATCTAAGAATTGATTGCCATTTTCTAACCATGATTCAGCAGACAAACTTTGGTATATAAATTTATTGAGAACAAACTGAGTAAGTTTTATATTACGGATCCATAGGAACTTTTCTGCTGTTTTTTTTTTCACCAACATAAAAAATAACTGTCAAAACTTCATTGACTTCGTTAAAGATTTTATATTAATTTAAGTATGATGTTTATATAAAACTACCTATTACAATGTCATCATGGTAAGACCCAGGCTTGAAACGCTCTTATTTTTTGTTTCATAGTAGGCCTACAAAGGATAAGGATAATTATAAAAAAAAATATCAATCCAATAGTCCTTAAAGTATATTTTCGATGTAAATATATATAAGCAAGTAACGTTTACGCTGAATGGAGGGATTTGAATTTCATACGTCTTGATGAAGTATATCTATAAGTAGTAAATAGTTTTATAGAATCACGGGTGAATTAAAATACTTGGGGATATCAACTTAAATTAATATTCAATAGATGATCAAACAGAACAAACCCATGCACGTTGCCCACGCGTCTGTAGGTTTTTTTTTTGTTACGGGGATATATAAACATTCCTGGTGTTAAATTGAAAACATGGTTATATAAATATTAAATACGTCGTTAGATAAATAAACACTATAAAGCCACAAAGTTATTACAGAGATAGCCTATATGAATGCCAAAGGTCATTTAAGGTATAATTAAATAAGGCCGGAAATCACCTGCATTCATTTTCATCCTTCTGATCCCCTGATTCTTTA